TATATGTGATTGCAATGATTCACATTTTTATATAGAAAAGGAACAATGTAAAGGAACAATTTCAAAAATTATAAACACTTTAATCACATACTAACGTTAACACTTTCCTACCATAAACATTTTTCTCTAGTTACTGTGCTACAAATTAATGTCTCAGGTGAAAACACCAGGCTTCTTTCCTGTGGTTCTGTGTTGCTGGATCGTGTAGGAGTTACGTCCATTGAACACCACTCTATATTGATGATCTTGTTTTGCATATTTTACATAAAAATGATCTACTTTTATACCTGAGATGTTACTATTTGGCATTAAAAGACACACACGCAACATAACAGCATATAAAACGTATAAAATGATTATATTAAAACAGGCAAATTTTCATCATTTTATGTAGTTGCGAGTAACAAAATGTCAAAGACAAGTTACTAAAATTATGCCAATTGGATTTATATATTTATTAAACACATTGATTTTTATATCAACCGAAAGTGCAACGGTTTTATCCTATCAAGCGGAAATCTCAATGCCTTGTTTATCATAATAGTTCTTTTTATGTAGATATTTCACAAATGAAATATCTCTTTGTTAAACAGTCTGCATCCCACATTAATTTATCAGTACCCCTAACAACAATGCATAACTGGTTTGATTCATTGTCCGGTTGACCAGTTTTCCAATTGAAGAATATGCTTCTGGTAGGAGTTGCGAACACCCATGCAGAATTAGGGTTTTTGCGAACGCCATCTATGTTAATAAGTCCTAATGTAGAAATTCCCGTTAACTTCCCGACATCATTTAATTTGCTTTCGGTGTCAATTTTTACCAGATTCCCTCCATCGGCTTCACATTGCTTTTGGGTATCTGCTTTTGATTTTGTTATAGTGTAAAGTTTCATACATGATCCATTCTCGGTAATTTCGTAGTCAGCTGGACATACGCCCTTGCATACATTAAAATCCTCCTCTGCGTTTGTAGGACCTGTCTCGGTCAGTTGCCTTTCTGTGCCACATAGTCGTGTTCGCTTTTTTAGTCCAAAGTGATTCGGCCTTGAAGCGGTGCAAGCCGACCAGGTGGTCCACTGTTCACACTTATGTAAATTATTCATTGCGGCTCCTATCAAAGATAAATCTGGTTTATTCAACATTTTCCCCATCCTTAATAAATATGCACCATCAATATTCCCTACAGCAGTGTCATTTATAACCGATTTTAAATCGTAGCTCTGAAATGACACAAACAAAACAACCAAACATATTAACCTTCGAAATTCGTTCTTCCCCATAGCAATAAAGTGAATGATCTGTTTAAAGTTCGAACGTTTTATAACATCCACACTTATTGAACCCTCTTAAACTAACATACTACGTGCAAATACCGTTGCATTCGTAGAAGTGCATGAATTCGTAGAGAGCTACCAACAAGCATTTATACCTGAACACATGATACTTAGCAACAACAAATTATGCAAAACTTAAGATTAACAGCGTAAATACTCATGATCGAATTAACACAGACCCCGCAAGAGTAATTTATGACTTGTTTCTGTTCCAAAAATTTTGAAAGAAGAGAACATCATCATCAAAACCAAACATCTTTATCAGTTTCAAATTGGCATAAAGGTGATAATTGAATTAAGATAATCGCATAGATCTACATCTTTATTTTTCTTTTTATTTCTATCAAGTTTTTGCTTATTTTAACTAAATATTTTCAATTTGGGACTTTTTGATGATGACTTTTTCTCTCTTTAATCCCTTTATATCAAATTAAATGATAAATAAAAGCTCCCTCGAGTCTTACAAATTTGTTAAACATAGGGAATGTTTTCTTAGACCTTGTCAGAATCTGTTTAACAGCTGTCAATTATCGGAAAGATCAATGATATAAATAACGGATCGCCTTGCATTTACAGAGCTATTTGTCTATAGTCTGACTGTTAGCTTAGCTTCTCTGGCACATACACATATTTAGCATCTTGCAGTTTATAAGTATTCGTTGTTAAACATCATTTTGACATCAACATCGATGCATAATTTGTTCTCATACATACCATCAAACTATTCTAATTGTCATTATTTTCATTTCCATTTAAATCATCTTTTAAAGGATCCGATATAACACTCATATTGCACTTTATGTGTTGCAGTTCCGAACGGAATATCCATTTCGTAGAATCCAGTCGGGGCTTGCCGAGATGTTGCCCATTGACAGATACATAAAGGGTGAATGTTCCGATCTGAACCGCAAAATTATTTTTTTTTTTGCATAAAATTTTGTAAAAGTTTACTGTAAAAGAAATTCATGGAAATAAATGTAATTTCATTTGTTACAATATTTCCTACTGTAAATGTAGTATGTGAATTGACATTTTTATCCAAGATACGCCGTTTCATTTGCCTCCTCAAATCCATTGCCAGAGTATGTTTTCTGCATTGGTAAACTAACGGGAAAAGTAGTCTGATATACAACAAAATATTGCAAGCTACCGTCCATGAACAGGCTCAATCAAACCGAGCCGAAATCATATTGTTGAAGCACGAACCTTGATCATACTTTTCGTCGAGCCAACAAGCTAAATAATGGGACTTTATGCAACAAGTTTTAATTGAAGCAGCAATGACAAAATTTTATTTCAATCGGGATTATTGTTTTACTACTTTTTTGTGTTTTGCTCTTGATGTACATGTATCTCTTTTGTGATGCATATTTGTAAACTACAAATCATCATTGGTCGTCAATTAAAGGAGAAGTTGTTACGGTTTGATTTGATACAACTCTACAATTTGCACAGTAAATGATTTCAAACAGTTAATTTATTAAGTTTCCATGTAAGATGTGCAAAGAAAAAAATCTGACATTCAAACCCTACTCCTGTAATTTTCCTAATTGTAAAGATAGATTAACGAGACCTTTATCTTTATTTTGCGTGACTAAAAGATGAATACGTCTGTATAATATAATAACTCAATTAGTCTTGAACTTTACATTAACTTTTATATTGTATTGCGTTAAGTCGCATTATGTAGATGTGTATGCTATTAAGATAATATTAATTTACTCTGAATTAGGTAGAAGCATATAACATTTATATAAGAAAGTAGGCATCGAGTATAAAGACGAAATATTCTCACGTCGGCATGAAATATTTGCAGTGATTGCAAATTCTACATTTAAATAAATGATCTTAGTAATACGTGAATATCATGTGTTTTATACTTTAGAAAATACAACTGATAACGCCAACATCACGTTTTATGACGTCATGATGACGTCATAATAAAGTATTATGCTTTTCAAAAAACTTCTCTAATAATGTACTCAGTTTTACACAGCGCGATATTTGTGAAGTTTAACAAGATCATCAAGGAATTGCGGCGTTCAATGAACGCGTCCCCCAAAACCTAGAAAACACAAGACCGCTGACAAGGAGCTCAGTAAAATACCAGTACTAATTTTAATCTTTAGAATTATGTCACACTTGCTGATTACAATGAGAGTGAAAAAAACCTCAAATGATTGTCATCCATGAATACAGTGACAATTTCTGTACATACACTTATCAATTTATCATATTATTAAATTTATATATTCGATCCTCTTGTTAATCTTGTTTTTTCATATTTCATATCTTATATCTCATGCATAAATCTAGTTCATATTTATTACGCTAAACTTGATCTTCGCCATGGCTATAGTTGTAGGGTTATTGATCCACAGATGGTATGAATTTAAGAATTCCCTTCGGAAATTATGGCATGTTAAACATTCTTAATGTTTTGCCCTTTACAGTGGGAAAAGTCATTTATCATTGGCGATTTATTATGTTCACAGTTTATTGGTCTGAGTAAAAATAAGGAACATATGATAGCGTCTTTGACCGCGTTATTAGTAAAATTAATATTAGATTTGTTGCTTGGTAGGGTTTTAAGAAAAGCCGACATTGTAAAGATTTTATAACGACTTTCCAATTTCCAAACTAAATTTCACCTCCGCGCATTCTTTCAGTCAAGGGTGGGTATCTAAGCAGATCCAACGACCTTCCCTAAGCTAGCTGAACAGTCTCTTAAAATAAATGAAAGAATAAAAAAACAGACCCACTCATTATGTAAATGATATCGTAAATTGAGGTATCATTTCCGCTCTGCTGTTAAGTAGAACTGGTTTGTTGTAAGCATCTCATATATCATTTCAACAACTTAATATGTAATACAATATTGTCCCATGCATTTTAATGTAGTCTTTCTGCAATACTTTCCCGCCATAATAATCTAACATTGGCCACTATCGTTATTAATCGGTCATTTCCGGAACGTTATTTTTCACAATCTTCGGTATTCAATAATTATAACTGAATTTATTACATAGCGATATAGGACAAGTGATTGTAAATAATCTTATGCCAAGATTTTGAGAAGATAACGTTCCGGAAATAACCGATGTTAGTATTGTTTTGGCGGGATAGCATTACAGAAGGACTACCTTAAAAATCATTAAAGAGCAATATCTATTACTTGAAATTGATATCAGCAATTGTAAACTAATCTAAAACTGATTAAACACCAGAAATACTGTTATGATTATTTCTTAAAAGCTTTTTTTAAGTTGGTGTACTTTTACAGAATCAAATAAGATACTTATTGGCCAATTACCCAAACCATCTTTTGCATCTGTTGTTTTTTGGCAATAATTACTCTTATAGTCAATTAGTATTTATCATGGAAATTAAAATACTATTCGTATTTTGTTTACATTTTGCTACATTAATGACAAGTAATTTTACATTTGTCGCTACTTTCTTCAGGTTACACGCATCTAACATTTCTCTGAAACAATTAATGAAAAATTCAAATTAATGTTTGTCCTTTCTAAAGAAGAAACAATTAATTTGTTTCTGAGGCATAATGTGCCTTAAACCGAGATATCAGAAATGTAGCCGAGAACCTGTTATATAATTACATGTTAAAAAACTACGGTCTTCGTAATTATATATACTACAGCCCATCTGAACTCCATACTTTGCTATATTGTATCAAAGATTTACACAGATCACTCAAAATCAAAATAATTTATGTATTTCCAAACTAAATATCAACTTTAAATTTGTTTAAAACATTCAACGTTAATTTTTCAAATATTTATACAATTGATCATAGACTAAGCATCTACATGTTAATTTGTCGCACAATCTAGTTTTTATTTTGGGCTTGCTAAACTGTTATATTTACAAACAAAAACAAAAAAAAGACACCAGCATTTGTAAACAATTATTTAGAGGTAAACTTTGTTTCTACACAAGTAACCAAGAAATGAAAGTACTACGCATTACGCACAGAGCTGTACATTTTAAATATCACAGATCTCCCAGAAAGAAATAAAGTCCAATTATTTAAAGCAGCCTTTAAAATGGATTGTATTGTCATTTGATATAATATTACCTTAACCATTTGTGTTATATGAACGGAATAAGTTTAAGCACAAATGACAAAAAATTATCAAGCTTTTAAAAGCCCCTGGATCAAGGGTAAAATACACCAGTAATCACAAAACTTTTTTTTTTAGGGGTTGATCAGAGACCAAGTAAAATCCTCAAATGGCGGAAAAAATTATTTTGTTTATGTCTCTACATATTATTTCGAATACTCTAAGCTAGTTTTCTTATGTACGAGTATAAATTTATGTTCGTTATAAAAGAGACATATATTTTGAATATGAAACAAGTATATAACAGATCATGGGCATTAAGTATTATGGTAAATGAGTTAAACAATGTAAAAGTCAGCGTGAGAAAAAAAATCCAAAAAAATCGCCAAGTAAAGTGATACAGAAAATTTTAGATTAAACACATTATTTTTCAGATTCGATTTACACATACTGCTTATATCAATTTCAAATAATAGGTATAACTATTTGATGACTCTCCATATTCCATATGGAAATAATGCATGAATATTAGGTTACTGTAAAAGCAAGAGATAAAATACAAGTACTTATTGATGTCACAACGGAAATAATACATCAATTTACGATATCATTTACATAATTTGAAGATCTGTTTTATGTCGATTTTCGTCGTCTTATGTTTAATGTCTTTCTTTTAACGGAACAGCACTTGTTATAGTTTTTCTGTAACATCATGAACAATAGAAAGCTCAACTTGGCTGTGAAACTATTCTTAAATTTATGCCATAAATTATATGTTTTTATCAAAAATTTAGAAAACGTGTCACTGAAATATTGGTCCATTTTATAGTTACAAAGACAAACTATCTAATAAATAATTGTTTACATTTTAACAACTGGTGAATAATTTATGCATTGTGTTATTTAAACTTTGTCTTATCTATTATATTATTATACTTGTACACATATATGATGAAACACCCCTTATGATATTAAGAAGCTTTATTGGGACATCATATGTATATATACCAAATTATAAACTACTATTTCAGTTTGATAAAATGACCACATCATTAAAACACA